TCTTCGGCGCCGCCAGCAGTCGTTTGGAGGCCTGGACTAGGTTCCGAACCTGTGCGTTGTCTGTGGGGTCCGGTAGGCCTCGCACCTTGTGCGACCAGGCCAACGCGCAAATAGCGGATGTTATTGGTGACGCTGTCCGTGCCTCCTGGAGCAGCTTCACGACATACAAACATATGTGCCAAGACTCGGCTGGTACGCTCGGGATCTCTTGACTGCTAGCCCACTCTTGCCAGCGCTGAAATGTCGACAAATACTTGGTCACTGTTCCCGGTGCCCTACTCGCCAACATGACTTCTGGAATCTTCCTGGATAGGTTCACGAGCTCCTGGGTTAGCTCCACTTGAACCGCCCTCAGCTCTAGGCATGAACACAAGATCATAACGTGAGGCGCCTGTCAACAGAGTCATCAGCATTAGCGTCGGCTTCAGCATCTGCAGCAGCTATCAGCATCATTTGAAGAGCATTATACAACGGCATCAGCAGCAGCGTCTGCCGAGCCCTGAGGGCTACAACATCGTCATCGGCATCACCAGCAGCAGCATCCGTCCGCCCTGCGGATTATGACATTGTCAGCAGCATCTGCCTCCTGCCCTGTAGGCAATGGTGTTCCCTGAACACCAACATAGGACAATGCCTCTTGCACCGTGCACTCACATATGCTCGCGCCACAAAACCACAGCAATCGTGTCAGTACGCAAATCAGCAACAGTTATTCTTCATGCACACTCTTAAAGCCAGCATTTCTGTATAATATTGCTTGCCCTCCCCCCCCCCCAGCAAGTTGTAAGGGCAGGTACCTTCCAGAAATGGGTTTTCATCATGGGGTAGCACCAAAACTTCTTTTACAAATTGCCTAGGGTACCCTGTAAAAAGACTCACAGTCTGTGGGGATTGCCCTAGTAAAATAATAAATACTACTACTACTACTACTACTACTACTACTACTACTACTACTACTACTACTACTACTACTACTACTACTACAAATGGTTTCCAGGTTTGCCTCCCATGTAATTTTGGCCACCAATCCACTGACACCCACTTAGGCACGACCAGTGTGCCATGGCCGCAGCACATTTTTAACATACTCAAAACCCTGGGTATTAGGTGGAACGGAGGTGTAAGCCACACCGTTTCCATTGACCAATCAACCGTAAAGGCATCGATCGCATAACATCCCGGATTCCACCACCTTGAACTGAAACGCTTTAACTGTTTCGTCCTCAGACTCGCAAAGCAATCTAGCGTATGGGGACCCCACAAACGCTCGATTTGTTCAAAAACAGCCGGGTTTAGCCACCAATCATCTGTGTCAACTATTTTCGAATAGTAGTCCGCCAGTTCATTTTGTTCTCTGGGAACCCATTCGGCAATCAGGCGGATTCCGTGCTTCATGCACACCTGGAGGATTCGCATGGCCTCCCTTTGCAAATGCTCCCTTCTGCTGCCCACCTGGATAATGTGCACAGCTGCCTGGTTATCGCTTCAGTGAATGCAGATACCTCCTTCTAGTTTGTGTGCTAATGATTCAAGCACCAACGCGTTTGCTCTCAATTCTCTCCACGTGGAGCTTCTTCGGTCATTCAAAATCTCATTGGACCACTCTCCTCTGGCTACCTCGACTGCACTGCCGTCTACTAAAAATCCGCCCCAGCCAGAGTCGCTCGCATCGGACCAGGTCAGGACCGTTGCCTTTGGGCAGTTTTTCCAAAATGGTTGGCCGTGCCAGTCTTCAAAAACCGTGCTCCAAAATTCCAAGTCGCACCTTGCCGCATCCGGCCATTTCACTGGGGCGTACCAAGAACTCCTAGACAATAGCATGCTGTAGAATGCCCTGGTACGCAGACGGCAAATTGGCCCGAGCGCAAGCGACATAGACAACAGGAAGCCGGCTAGCCTTGCCACTTCCCTCGCGGGTGGCGCTGCTAGACCGCTCAACCGTGCTAGGCACTCTTTAAGCCTCGCCACTCTGCGCTCTGTCGCAAAAATTCGACCCTCTTTGAGGTCAATGCACATGCCTAGCATTTCGACCGTTTGTGATGGCTCCCACTGGGATTTTAGTTCATTGGGCACAAACCCAGCTCTCAAGAGATCAGCTTTCATCTGTTTTGCCACCACCTTTGCCCCTTCGACAGTTAGGCCTTGACGGATTATGCTAGCATAATTTTTCGCATAATTCCTACCAAAATCGAATAATCGCATAATTCGAGGCAAATTGCATACGAATCGCATAAAATTGTAATAATCCGCCTGCTCGCATCAAATTCCATACATCGTATATGTTCTACAAGTACAAGTACAAGTAGATGCACTAGGAATTTGTAGGTTTACGACTCCCTTGATAACATGTCCAGCCCACTACAATCAGTGATGGTCGTAGCTACATGTAGGTCGGACGGTGCGTTGATCCCGTTGAACTTTTGCTACTACAGTAATACGCCCTCTACAAAAAAATTCCCCTGCTACTTTGCACAGAACCATCATGCATTAGCAGCATACATGTATGTGAGAATAATGCGGCATAATATGATAACTTTTAGCATAAAAATAGCATAATTCTGCATTTTTTTCAGCAATGCGAAAAGCATAATTATTTTCACGAAAATATTAGCATAATCCGTCAAGGCCTATCGACAGTAGAGTGCCTACCAGACCCGTCGTCCATGTAGAGCTGACATCTTATGCCCAACTCCCTCCAACGCCGCAGTAAAACACGTGTCACTTTTGTGAAAACATAAGGAGCCGTGGAGAGGCAAAACGGTAACACGCAAAATAAGTAGGTTGTGATAGTTCCCTCCGCATTAAACCACTTAAACCCCAAGTACTTTTGATGCTCCTGTGCAATTTCAATGTGGTGGTACCCGCTTTTCAGGTCAAAAGTAATCACGTAGTCACCCTTTTCGTAGACTCTTGCGACTGTTTTCAGGTCTTCCATTTTGAATTTAAATTTCGCCAGATAAGTATTGACGTACCTCAAATCCAAAATGAATCTTAACTTTTTCCATTATTTACCACGCCTTAAGGGCTGCAAATCACTGCCTCCTCACTCTTGACCTCCTTTATGCACCCTCTTTCCATCAAGTCTCTAATTGAATCTGTGACAAAATCAAATTGGCACTGAGCGCTACTGTGATTTTTTACAGTTTTCGGCCTTGGTAGCTGCACGAACGGGAGTAGATACCCTTCACAAATGATCCTTGGCACAAATTCGGATGCCCCCATTTTTTCCGAAAATGGCTTGCACCTAGCTAAACTGCTCACCACCACCCCTTGCCCCTCTAGTTCCCCTTGATCGTCAGATTCACACATGCCCGCCACGCACCCCTCGTCAACGACACTCAGCACCGAATACACTTCATCATCTATTACATCAGGGGGGAGTCCGTCCGCACAGCCCTCAGAGCTATTTCTGAGCGGCTAGCTTCTGGCAGAAATTGATGAAGTGGCCTGGCTCGCCGCAACGGAAGCAGACTTTGGGGCCAGGCTGGATGGGGTTTCTCCCCGGTTGCGTCCTTGGTGCCTCGCTGGGCCCAGAAGGTGACTGCTGTTGTGGTGGCTGCTCAGCCCCTCGTGCGGCTGCTTCAGGGGTGACCACCCCGCCCCTGCCGAACCTGGATGGGATGCCCACCCCCCCCCCCCCCTCCGAAAGGGCCGCTGCATGGCCACGGACTGCACGGCCGCATTCAGTCTCTTGCTCTTTTCGGCGGAGGTCACACTGCTGAGGATTTCCCCTCCCTCCACAAATTTGTTCGCCACCTCTAACCCATGGGTATCGGCGACGGCGAGCCACTCTTGCCTGTCCTCTAGAATGTCCTCTCCTTTCTTTAGGTTTTTCGTTACGCTCCTCAGCCGGTCGGACTTCAGTGCCCTCCGCATTTTCTCCAGGCGCTCCTGGAGCCGGGCGTTTACTGTGTGCTGGTGCTCATACGCCACGTTCCTCCATTTACTGGGGCCCGTTGACGTAGCACTCGAGCGATGGCGATGACGGCGAGCCTTCTTGTTGGAACTTTTTGATTTTTTGAATTTTTTGGACCTGGATCTCCGGATCCTTGGGCGGGGTGACCGCGATGCACTGCTGGCACTCGACTATGATCTAGATGATGACGACGACGATGGCGACGATGACGACGATAACGGAGAACGTCTCCGTCTGCGACCTCTGCCGCGTGGGGATTCCGGGGCCCTGGCCCTTTCGAGCTCGATTTGGGCCTCGAGCAGCCTGATGCGAGTTGCCTGCTCCTCCAGGCGTGCCGCCGCCGCATGGACCTCGATCGCGTTCCGCTGCGCGTCAGCCTGCAGTCGTGCGGGTTCTGCGCTTGCAACACGACGGGTCCTTTTACGGGGAGGCATGTTCCTAAAAGGATCCTGAAAGTACGTTGAAAAAACGGGATCAGAAATACACTACACTTGCAAAGCAAGAAGAAAAAGAATGCCGCAGCCGGGGCGCATGCTCCTAATATCTCGCATTTGCGAGCAGCAAATGTTACGTCATGCAAAAGAAAGACTAAAAAGAACTACATTCTCGTTTCTTTCCTACGTCAGCCAACGAGAAATGAGGCATAAACCTGTCTATCACGACCGGTCAAAGGACCTTCAATATGTGGTCTCTGTCACCAGGTGGTAGCCTTATCCAGGGTAAAATAACTGGAAATATCACCCCTGGGTTCTGGTTGCAGTGGTCTTCTAGAACAGGTGGTCGCCTTGACAGGTTTTACTGTATTCCGTTCTCATTAGGCCTACGCATGCAGCCCACGAGTCAACAACGATCGAGGGTAATATTGGTAAGCATGACTGTCTCTTATTGATCTAGCATTACTGATTACTCTCTACCCTCAGTTCTTTGTCTGAGCTATACTCATTCCAATTTGGTATTCTGCTGTCTAGGAGCTGGGAACTCAACGTTCCTTAGCATCCTTCAAAGCAACTTCAACTTCCGGGCTGTCTCAGAACCCATTGCAGACTGGCAGAATGTGGCTTCGGAGTAGGTGAGTTGATTCATATCAAGTTTGAGCAGCGTTGTCGAAAATATGACCATAATTATATGTGCGCATTGTACTGAATGAAATGACAATGCAATATACATGTAGTGAAGGTTGGCACATGATTCTGCCCAACACAGCCAGCGAGAAAGTGAAAAGCGAGCATTCAAATTAGCATTATGCTGATATAACATTATGCTGATATAACGAGCAGCGCTCAAAGCATTATGAGTAATATAATCAAGCATTAGCCGAAGATGCCCAAATACGTGTGCCAGCGGATAGCTGAAATAGGGCATGATGCAAAACAACTTGGGGCCGCCAGGTTAATTTTCCTGGACCGAGCCAGCCGGGAAAAAACCCTCGCGCCGACGGACGCAGTAGAGAGGGAAAAAACCGGGTGTATATCCCCAAAGGCGATTGGGCATGATGTAGGCATGGCAAATGAGGAGCACACTGTGCATTCTGACAATACACAAAATTTCTCTTAGTCTAAATCATCAGCTCCGCTTCCAGGAGTAGATCTTCGCTGTTGACTGTTTCGTCAAGATCTGGCTTATTCAAGTCGACGTAGGTTACGTCACCAACAAATTCCTTCATCGCTTTCTCAAATGCATCGTCATCCAGCAGGTTGATGTCATCGAGCCTAGAACAGTCAAAAGAATAAGAAGTTATCTACAGCCGGTAAGACAATACGAAGGGACATTCAGATACTGCTATGGGAATGTCTTGGATGTGATATACTCAAACTACCATGTTGTGACTGCAGTAGTAATAACTGAACCACTCATGTTTATAATTAAATCCCAAAAATGACGGAATATTAAAAGAAAAATTACGTCTAGCATGGGACTCAGGTAGACTGAAATGTTCACAACCATAGGAACCGAATCACCCTCAAGGATCAAGGTGCAGATGCAGCTTCTAAAGCGGTCGGAGATGAGTAAGTCAGACCCACCATACAGTTGCCTATAAAATACGGAAAATTCAATCCGCTGAATCCATGCAAATTCAATTCGCGCCATGAATCCAAAAATGTGCAGTGTGAAAACTCGGACACATTAAGGAATGGCATGTAAGGCACAGTGTGATGAGAATTAGCCCGTAACAAGCACTTACCAATCAAATTCAGACTTGGCATCAGACTTCATAGTAGTAGTATCAGCAGTGGAAGGAACTTCACTTCCTTCACTTTGGGACACCTTCGTAGTGGCTGGGCTTTCCTTCTTAGCTGAATAGTGCAGATGAAGAAGCAAGCATTTATAATTATTTAATATATTTACAATGGATCAAGCCAGATTATAGCATCCCATTAGCCATAGAATGCTGGAACATACATATCATACACGCAAGATCACCTACTACCAACCCCTGCGTCAGGAATAGCGTTAACTATTTGCAAAGCCCTTAAATTGTATTGTAGCACACTGCAGCCGTGTTGAAGCAAATGGTCTTGCCACACGAGAAAGAAGCAGGACTCACTATCCGAATGTAACGAGAGGTGTAGCACATATCCCAAAGACCATACAGTAAATACCAAGCCAGGCCACACAAATAAACAACCAGAGAAAGGTATCGCTTAAGAAAAGGCACAGGAAAGGACAACAGATCAAAATTAACGTCTTCACGCACATTTCTAATACCAGCATGCATTAGCAATACAACTTACCAGAAGAATGACTGCTGAGTCTTGTTATCTTAGCAGGTGTTACCGCTTGAGTGGAACTCTTGGTAGGTGCAGTACTCAGTACTGAACTACATACACTCTTGCTTGCTGAACTGACAACTACTGATGGGGATTCCTTGCTGGTTGAATCGGCCGGTCTCCTTTGAATAGTGGAAGTCTGACTATCGGCCGGTCTCCTTTGACAGGTGCCTGCTGCAGATACAGTGCTGTCACTAGTGGTCTCATGGTGCTTGCGTTTCTCAGCACGGATTTCATCTAAAGACTTGATGTGAAGACCAGCAGCGGTCGACGTTGGTGGGGTCGCTGGAACATCACCAGGCTATGGAGCAGCCAGAAGAATGGCAACAGAGAGAGCGAGAGAGAGAGAGAGAGAGAGAGAGAGAGAAAGAGAGAGAGAGAGAGAGAAAGAGAAGGAGATAGTGAGAGAGCGAGAGAAAGAGAGAGAGAGAGAGATAGGGACAGAGAGAGAGAGAAAGAGAGAGAGAGAGAAAGAGAGAGAGAGATAGAGACAGAGACAGAGAGAAAGAGACAGCTAAAACAGCTGAGAGGCCTGGCATTGGCTGATGAATTCAAAAGACAGTGCAACACGTAAACCATAATCCGTAGGACATTATGACCACGCACCTTAAAGCAATGAATGCAGTTGTTGGTTTTATTTGACACATAACAGGCGCAAATAACGGATGGCACCTTTCCGGAACAGCTCGACAACAAAAAAATGAAGAAAGCAAGCCATGCACAAAATAAATAGTGGTGCACATGCAAGCTTTACTTTGAAGTTTGGTGCAAAGTTTGGTCTTGTAGTGTTGTGCACTGGAGTTGTCAGTAGCATTGGTGGTACTGCAACAGTTACTAATTATACATGTAAGCAAGTAGTACCTTTTGGGTTGCTTTTAAAGGCAGTGGCTTGGTGCTGGCGTGCACCTTAGCCCAGGGTTCTCTTCTCTGTTCTTGTTCTGTGTCCTGCTGACGCTGCTGCTGGAGCTGCTGTTGCTTGGAAAAGCGTTTGGCTCTTAGCTCCTTGACGGACACCCCACTGGACTGAAGAGGGCACGATGGTAGTGTCTGGCTTTGAGCAGATGATGATGTCTGCCTTTGAGCAGATGATGATGTCTGCCTCTGAGCAAATGAAGATGGCATTGACAGAGGCTTCTTGGTGAAACAATTTGTATGACCAATTTTATTCAGCGACTGAACTTTGAATGTATCCTCCTTAACTTCCACCTGCAATGAAAAGCAACATAAACAGGACAGGCACAGAGCCACGTACCACCGGCAAGAAGAAAAAGAACACCTGACGTCATTTTAAGGTTCAATAAGCACCCAAATCAGCCACACACAGAGAGGAAGAGATGCACACACGTTTACACAGTAACTCAAGAACGCAAAATAAATATTGCAAAGTAACCGCCAGTGAGGTTGAAGATCTGCAACTAAAAGATTAATGGTGAAACGACCGGGATCCTCAAAGGACACCGCCAAAGTCGTCAACAAAAAGAATGACATATGAATCTGTTAACTTTGAGCACCAAGACATACATATCCTTGCATGTGTCCGTCAGAAAGAAAGGATTAGCAAGTTGTGCTCTAGATTTATGTCTGCAAAAATGAAATATTTCCTTTTCATAAATGAATGCAATGCCACTATAAGAAGCAAGCATATTGGTGCATGCATGCGCTGACAGTTACAGACAGCCAGACAGACACAGACAGACACACATCACACACAGTTACACTCTGTCACACACACATACACGCACACATACACACACACATACACACATACACATACACACACACACACACCTTTGACCTTTGACGCCCATCGCCGGGGGGATGATAGCGATGCTACGGCAGAAGCCATAGCAACTTGTGCTGGGATTGCACCATTCAACAGCTTGCAAGGCGGAAGAATTGCCCGTCACTATTCAGCCTGGCCTACACCATACAGCTATTTGAAGGGATTTTTTCTGGCCAGTGAATCCATATTATTGGTCTTCTTCATTTTTTTCCCGCACACACATCACACCACATCCTCCGGCATGCACTGGCTGTTGGTAACCACCCAGGAGAATGAAAGAAAAATCAGGAAGAGTCTAAGAAAGAGAAGAAAGACGTGTGTGACCATATTCGTCAGGAATCGAACCCGCAACCTATTGATTGGAAATCGCTGCACATACCACTGCACCATATGGGACACACACACACATACACATACACATACACGCACACACAACTCATTCATTGATATACCAATGAATGTTCACTCTTATAGTACCTCAGGCCTGCGTCGTTTGGCTAACGGCTTCGTTTGGTCTTTTTGCTGAACAGATGCTGCCCTTTTCGTTGGTAACAAACGAATTGGACCATGCCTTGCAGGTCCAGATCTATGCTGTTGATTTGGATGATCGCGAGCATGAACACAATGGTATCGGCTTTTGGCTCGAGTTGCTCTTCTCATATCCATTCTGGAGTCAGCGGCAGTTGAGTCGGTGGCAATCCCTTGTGTTGGGGCGTGTCGCAGTCTTTCTTGAGAATTGCCAATAGTCCGGATGGTAGGGCTGCGCTGTGCACTGCTGTCACCAGGTATGGTTATCAGCAACTTGAAATCAGGTGGAAGCACCTGCGCTGGTCCAGCTGCAGAGTAGATAGGACAGTAAGGGTTAGCATCAATGATAGATTGTCTTGATGCATGGCAAGCAGTATAGATACGCCGCATCCAGCAACATTGCGTTCTCCATGAGCAAGAGTACGCAAGTAACCGGTAAAACGCAACTCCCGCAGCCCTTTCCGTACCAAGGACGTATAACATGTTTGTTTGATTTTCCTAATATTTCAGGTGAAATGGGCCTTCTTGCTTCATACAACTAACAGCAGTGTAGCAGCCATTTTGCCGTGCAGATTTCTATATACATAAATAAGTACCTCGTACACACGCTCGTACACACGCTATTATTGTGCACGAGGGCTAAGTACAGTCTTACAGCAAACCGAAAATGCTTACCTTTGACTGGATTTCCTTGGGGTGCAGTCGTAGTGGGTTGTACTTGGCCAGTTTGCAGAGGTGCAGCAGGACTTTTCGCTCGGCCCAAAAAATGACCAAAATTCATCAGATTCGGCTGAAAAATCCGCTGATTGTTTCATTATCGGCTGCAAAATTGGAATATACTGGGCTCAGGTAGGGTTGGAACGATTGTGGATTTTCACCTTTCTATTACCGTTTAGCTTAAAGTTGGCGCTACACCTTTCTGGCTCCTTTCAGAGGGTCAAAATCGAATTTTGACCCCATTTTCGCTTCCAGATCCTCCGGGTAGGTCCCAACCGCACATCCTGAAGTGAATTGCTTCAGTAGTTTTTAAGATATGGACTTTCAAAGGCCGCTATTGTCAAAAATAGTAATTGTAAATTCAAAAAATTCAAATTTTAACGCAGTAGAATTTACATTACACATGTTTTGCATGTAACTTTGATTTCGCTGGCATTTTAGCGATGAAACTTCGCGGAAAGGCTGAAAATCTCCCTGATTTTACCTTGCTGCGCCCCACGCAGAGCATCGGCATCAGCAGTGCCAGTGCGCATGTCACCATACACAGTGCGCATGTCGTACTTCAAATTATTGGTAAATATTTTTATACCAGCAATCTCCAATCTCAGCAATCTCCAAACTGTAGCTCTTTATCAGTTTAGCTGCTTTGTTGGCTTTCATCTGTTTTGTGGAACCTTCCTTGATCACTATGGGCAAGAGGCAATACGTAGGCCGTCCTGGTCGTCCACAGAAGCGCAAATTCCATGGAAATCAATCGCTAATTAATTTAATTGTCGAGTGAAATCACGAAAATTGTCGTGGCAGAGGACTCTTCTGTGTTGCCAGAAGATAGGGATGATGCCGAAGTCCAACAGTTTAATTCTGGTGAGAATGAGACATCTAGTGACAGTGACAGCGACAGCTCTGGAGATGAGCGTGATGATTACCTTACGACCGGGAGCCGAATTATTTATTTAGAATGTTTACAAAATTTACCTGCTGATAGTGCCTGTTGCTCAGCGTGCCATGGCACCCTTACACTATGTGAAGTACGTCGTGAAGGATTGGCTTCAACTCTATCGCTGGCCTGTGACAGCTGCGAGGCTGAAAGCCGTGAAGCTATGTCCAAGAAGAGTGGGCACTGCTGGGATGTGAACAGAAAGCTGGCTACTGCAATGACATGGATAGGACGTGGGCATCCCTTGTGAAATTCTGCACTGTCATGAATACGCCTGCTCCCATGAATGTCTCTGCATACCAGAAGCACACCAAGGTACTAGCAAAGGCCGGTAGATTTGTTGCCACCAGCAGCATGAGTGTGCAGCTGCGAATGCCAAGGAGTTGGCGTCTTCCCCGGATATTGCCGTCACTTACGACGGAACGTGGATGCGAAGCGGCTTTACCTCCCTACATGGAGCGTTTTTTGCCATCTCGTGGGATACTGGCAAAGTCATCGACTATGAAGTCCTCTCCCGGCACTGCCAGCAGTGCACAATATTCCAGAGGAAGCTGAGCAAACATGAGATCAGCAAGGAGCAGTATACTGCCAACGTACGTGGACATAGCAATGACCTGAAAGGCATGGCACGCGCGATATGGGCATTGGTTATGCATTGTGTGTTCAACAGATGACAAGCCGCAGCATCAGTTCTGCCCCCTGGACCAGCCTGTGTACTTGCGGCTGACTGAGAGGCAACTTCTCGAGAAATGCTTGCGTGGCGCTACTCAGAATCGGAACGAGTGCATCAATGGCCTCATTTGGCAGATTTGTCCAAAGACTGGCTTTTGCTTGTGAAGGACTGTCCAGACAGCTGTTGCCATAGCCACTGCTTGCTTCAACGAGAAGAACAAGGCCTTGGAGGAGATTCTTGAAGCGATGGGCCTGACAGCTGGTCACTACACGCGGACAGCGCTTGAGAAGTTGGACCGTGAGCAAGCCAAGAATGCAGCCAGGAAATCCTCAGATGAAGTGAAAAGTGCAAGGCAGAGGCAAAGGAGAGTGAGGTAGGGTGTGGAGGAGCAAACTGTTGATGACAAAGGTCTCACCTATGAGACTGGGGCCTTATAAAAAATAGCTGGCGTGGTGGACACAGATTGTAAATACAGGCATTATACTGCAATTTTTCCCCTTTTTTGGCTATTCCTAGAACTCTTAACCAGGCTACTGAGATAATCGTGGCCTGCAGACCCAGCAAAGTATACATTTTTGAAATCTGTGAAGCATTAGCTAGACATCGAACCGAAGTTTCAGAGGGCTGCTCTTCATATGATTATGATAGCAGAGGTCAAACCTTTTTGTTATTTTTTGCGCTTATCGCTCTTTTTTTTCAATCTCCTGCACTTGCTGGCTTGTTTTGCTGATGTCCCCTTTCTTTGGTTCAATGTCTTGCCATGTGTGTGTGCGTGAGACACTGCAGTGGCACTCATTTTATGCATAGGACGCATGGTCTTCTATATTGTGGTTACAGGCGAACCTTTCGGCGGATTTTGCGAACAGATCCGTCACATGTATGCCAACAGTAGATAGATGGCATCTTTGGCTTTATGTTTGCTGTTTCTGCAACGGGTATATCCAAGAAGTAAATGCTGAAATTTTTATAAGAATCTGTTTACCCATTGCTCAGATATGTGTGCTTGCGTGGGACGGTGCCGGAAAGGTGTAGCGCCACCGATTAATGATGGATTAAGGGGGCAGCCTACCCATAAATTTCATATGGCATTCAATTGACCGTAACTTTTGTTTCTCAATGGATTTGAGTGAAATTTTGACCACACACTACTGCCACTATGGTGGCCCTCAGGCCATGATTTACAAGTTCTTGCGCCTCACTGACAGGCTTTCCAGGCCGGAAAAACTCAAATTTCCGCCATAGTGCCACGGTGTGCGAGCCACCCAGGAGCCAAACAAATGCATTTACAATTTTTTCACATTTTCGTGCCCATTCTGTCCGTGCGCGAGTCCCAAACCTAAAACAAGTCCAGAAGCAGCCATGGGGGGTGGGATAGGGCCCCTCAACGTGGCCCTGGAATCTGTCACAACGGAACGAGTGGGCGTTCTCTCACAGACTCCCACAGAGCTAAGTTAATTAATATTTTTAGGTTTAGCACGTGCTACGAGGTCGTACCTTTCATACAACATCCAGTGCTGGGACGTCCACAGCAAGCTCTTTCCCGTTTTCTGTCATCTCAGTATGACAGCTTGCCAAGCGAAATTGTAAGGGCTCCACTCAGCTTGAAGCGGCTCCATACGTTCAAAAAAGATGTCCATAAGTACCTCACGCACCAACACTGGCTGATGGCTACCGACTTCTACGGATGAACTCTTGATTATGGCACGGGTCGTGTTCCTTGGTTTGGCTATGCTGGTGATATTGGGCTTCATTTACCTTTTATTAGTTAACTTTTTATTATTAATTTTTTATTTACTAGTAGCTTGTTTTGCTTGTTATAATTTCTTGGTTTTCCACCCGGTTTAGTTATAATTTAAATTATTATTTGGTGCAGTTTAGCGCAATGACTGTGGTTTATGATTTTTCTTTTTCTTAATTTCGTATTTAGCGCTTTGGGGCGTCATTATTTTCTTCTCATTATTTCGCACCAAGTTATTATTTTTGTGGTATTCTCTAGCTTCTGTTTGTTTTGCAGTTGTTCTTGTGCAACCCCCACCCATTTTTCGATGCCTAGTTGCAACGCTGATGCCGAGACCTCTGGTCGGTTGAGTTGCTCCCAGCACATCAGCACGTCGTCCCTACATCCCCTATGTTTTGTCCTTTTCCTCGTTTCTTTTTGTTCTCCACCTGTTTTCCAGTGGCGCTGCACACCAAATCCTGGATACCCTCAGAAACCGGCAAAGACTACCACTCACGTTCCACTACTGCCTAGTACTGAATCCTACCTGACTTCTTGACACGACTCAAACTTGCCAAAGTCACTAAATCAACGTCAACTACAATAATCAAGCCACATATCTGCAACGTCACGAGGGTGCTGGCAAAAGTCCTGCTGCACGGCGCCTGCTGCATGGTGGCAGACTACCAAAAAATTCGCGAATTTTTCGGTAGTCTGCCACAGTCTGCCACCTTAATCGATTATAGTCGTTAGCAATAAGAGTCAGAATTTTGTACAAAAAAACTCTTGTTTCCACAAGCTATGTCTTCACAATACGAACAAATTTCCAGGGGTGAAAGGGGAGATCCAAAACATGGCAGTTTTGAAGGGAATTGACCTTCAGGATATGGACTATGCCCCTGGCAACTGCGTAGTGCGTACTCACAGCGGCACGTTATTCAAAATCACGCAAACGTGGCTTTTCAAAGTCCCTAACGAAAAAACCTATAACGTAACGATTTGTTGATTGGAGTTATCGACCGCGTAATGAGTAATGGATATAATTGTTTCAGCCGGAATTGCTATACTTGTTTCAGCTCTAGTTGAAAATACAATGTAGGCTATATGAAGTGTTGGCATATTGGCTTCAAAATGGGTGAGATATTGGAAGATTTGGTAGATTCTCGGCGATTCTCTATGGAACTCTCCAAAATCGGCGAAAGGCTTTGCGATTTCGACCTCTCAATTAACATATCAGTTTTGTGTCCTGTTACAGCACTTTCTGACTGCTTATTTAAAACTTGTTACAGTCGTGGATCGTTGCGTCGTACATGTAAACCGTTCCCATGTAACTTCTTCTATTTTAATTAGATGTACTCTAAGTATTGGCTCAGTATCCGAGACATTTAATAATATTAATACTAATAATAATCAAAAGGTTCAGTTGGGGAAGTGAACTGCCTGATAAGAGAAAAAATCGCCAGACCCACCAAGACTCGAACCCGCGAACTTGCTTGTCGTGAGCAATGCTCTAACCACTAAGCTATGGAACCGGGCTGGACCTAGTAGGCTCTGACAAGTTTTTCACTCCAAAGGCAGCTAACACCACGTGCCACACATACTGATGGCACTTGGGTCTTTCTCCCTCCCCAGGGGACCAACCACGGTTAGTTTCTGGACCCTACCAGAAAAAAGGCAAGAGAGTGTGCAGGCAAAGC